ATCAGTGCGTTCCAAAGATTCTAGAAGATCTGCCTGACCTTTCAGAAAAGTTATGAACTTGTCCAGACTGGGTAGCTCTTTACAAAAATTGTTGTGTTCTCTCCAAGCCCTACTGGAAGTGACATCTAACTTACTGGATGCCATATGTATTATTAATACATCCCAGTTCTCTGTTTTGATTTTGAGTATGTTGAGTGCTCTTAAATTTTTATTTATATTGTCTATCATGCTTCTCAAAGCAACAGAAGACTCCTTTGCAACAGTTTGAATATCTAATAATGACTGAACGTGATTACTAATCAACAATTTATCACTATGATAACGTTCACATTATGTTTCCCATGCAACATCATAGTTGCTAGCAGAAAAGTCCAAAGACGAAATTACTTGTTTAGCAGCATCCTTTAAAGTCAGGCCACACAGACGCGGTATAGCGGGAAAAGCGTTTCGGGGCGGACCTGCGGGAAGCGAATGCGTGCCGGGGCATGCCACACCATACATAGCAGACCCGAGTGTAGTTCGTGACGGGACAGCGGCACGAAGGCGGCCGGTGTGACACCAAAAGCGTCACGCCACATTTCATTTTCAACACAAATAAAGAAAGGTCCATGTCACTATCGGATAGTGATGTAGAAGAACTTCTTTAAACTTTTGTATGGGGTGTTAAAGTTACCTTGAAAAAAAATCTGCTAAAAATTTCAAGAAAAAATTAAATACATATTTTTTTAGTGCTGAAACTAGAGTTTACTAGAGTAATTCGGGCTTTCTTTGGCATTGTGCTCATTAGCTGGGCTGTTTCGGGTTACCGTTACAAAAACTAGAACAGCAAAATTAGCAAATTTGTAATTGTAGTACTTAAAAATGGGGTACAGTGCGTACATTTTCAACATTTTTCATTAAAATGCTTATATTACAAAAACAAAATGACTCCGATTTTTTAAATATTTTTTTTTCTGGGTAGTTACAAACTAGGCAATATTCTGTTCCCAGGACACCCTGTATACTTACTTTGAAGGTTTTGAATCAAACTATTCATATGAACAGAAATTGTTTATTTAAAAACATTTAAAAAATTCTATAATCTTAACACAATTAAGTTGAATCATATTTTTTCAGTGAGACTCACTGGGCATTTTCATTATAACAAATAATAGGTATCTAAGATTTGTAGAATCAACAATAATAATTGCATTTAACTACTGTACCTACGTACTTTATTATTAACAATCTATATACGTAATTAACTTGAAACTTCTTTTTCTATCAGTCCAAATGGGCATTTTTATTTTAATAAATAATAAGTACCTATCTAAGATTTGTATAACACCAATTTTTTTGTTTAAGTCATGTATCTACATAAGTGCATTATTATGAACAATCTTGACATAGTTAATTTGAAACTTCTTTTTCTATCTGTCTCACATCACTTTTTATTTTGACAAATTATTATTTGTCATCTGATTATGCAATTGAAATGTTAACTTGAAACTTCTTTTTGTAGCAAACTCACTGGGCGTTTTTATTTTAACTAATAATATGTACCTATCTAAGATTTATGTAACAACAATTGTATTTAACTTATGTACCTACTTATATTATTATGGGCAATTTTAACATAGTTAACTTGAAACTTCTATTTCTAACAGACTCGCTGGGCATTTTTATTTTAACAAATAATTAATAGATAATAATATAGATATAAATATAGTACAATAAATAAAGATATAAAAGGTCCCTGTCGAAAGTTACATTATTATGAACAATCAACAATCTTAATACATTTAATTCAAACTTCTTTTACTATCAGTCTAATGCTGGCTTCCTACGGCCCATGATTTTTTATTTTAACAAATAACAGGCGTCTAAGATTTGTAGAATCAACAACAATTCTATTTGATTTTATGTACTTACTTAAATTATTATGAACAATGCATAATTGCAATTATACTTAACTTATGTACCTACTTATACACTCGGGAGCAATGAATCCGAGTCACTAACATAAAAATCAACATCTCAGAACTAACAATGCAAACTTATTCAAATAAAAAGTGTTTTGTAGACCATTTAATACTCTAATAAAAATTATAAAACTCCTTTATTGCTATATAAAACACTTTCTATTTATTAAATTAGCATTCATCGTTTCTGATATATTGAGGTTTATGTTTGTGTCCCAGATTCCTTGCTAGTATTACTATTCTTTGTAATAAGTCTTATTACATTTTTTATGTTATCACAGCATTAATTCAGTACCGTACCTCTTGGAATTACCCTGTGCAGCTTAGTCTTCAACGATATTACTGGTATCATAATGGGAAAAACAAGTCTTCAGGAATTTGTTGCAATGAAACTGGGATACTTTCTTGATCATTATTACTTGTTGTGCTAATTAAGGTAAATGAAGGAGATTGTACCGGTGCTACTGAAATTTGATTTTCTTCTAGGTCGTTCAGTTCAGCTTCTGTAAAAATGTGTGCAAGTTTCAATTTGATTTCGGCTTGAATTGTGGGTTTCAGTTTTTTAAAAGTTTCTGCATAACTAATAAACAGGTAATCTACGACGTCATGTTTTTTTCTTATTATTTAAATAATTGAAAACTTTATTCACGTCGCCTTGAGAGCCTAATTTCCTTTTCGTTGGAGGTATTGGCATAGCTATCTCTGGTGAAGGTGGTATTTCTGGCGGTGGAAGAGGTATCTCACAGTTGATTGTTATTGATGGAGACGTTTTCCACAACGTACCTATTCGGCCAGCTAACATAGAAATGGCAAGTCCATAGACGTCCCATGCAATGTGATATTGAAATGACAATCTTCTTCAAACTTTCAATTCCTCGTACAAATCAAAGATCGTCTGATTATGCAATTGAAATCAGAGAACAATTTGTCAATTATTTTAATAACAATTAAAAAAATAAAAAATATACTCACGACGTTGATTTAGCTCCTTGGAATAGTTTCCCAAATAATTTCTGTTTTTATAATTTCTATCACTTGTATTAAATAAACTGGGGTATGATTGCACCAATGAATGATATAAGTTTTTCCCGTTAGTATTATTAGTTAGTCCCGAGTGTAGTTCGTGACGGGACAGCGGTACGAAGGCGGCCGGTGTGACACCAAAAGCGTCACGCCACATTTCATTTTCAACACAAATAAAAAAAGGTCCATGTCACTATCGGATAGTGATGAAGAAGTGATGAAGGGGTGTTAAAGTTACCTTGGCATTGTGCTCATTAGCTGGGCTGTTTCGGGTTACCGTTACAAAAACTACAGCTAACAACTAACAGCAAAATTAGCAAATTTGTAATTGTAGTACTTAAAAATGGGGTACAGGGCGTACATTTTCAACATTTTTCATTAAAATGCTTATATTACAAAAAGAACATGACTCCGATTTCTTTAATATTTTTATTTCTGGATAATGTAATAGGTAAGTGAACAATGGCAATATTTTCGTATGCCAGTAATGAAATGAATGTCTTTCCATCCATTTTCGGTGTACACAGTTCATAATTTTTGTAAAATTATAGCAGGTTATATTTAGGTAAGAAATTATACACACTTCCGAATACCATTTTTGAAAACTTGTCTTACCGTCCATTTTAGGTGTACACAGTTCATAATTTTTGTAAAATTGTAGAAGAAACTAGGTAGGTAGGTGAGAAATTGTAACACTTCGGAATGGCATTATTGAAAAGTCATCTTTCCGTTCATTTTATGTGTACACAGTTCATAATTTTTCTATGCAAAGTGAATTTTGCAGAATCAAAAAAGTGCCAACTAAAGGTTGTTGCAGGGCAACAACGTAAAGATATCGCCGTTGAATATGTTAGCAGCTCTAAGCCCTGAAAAAGGCAAAAACATAAAATGTTGACTGTTTATTTAATTAAATATAGATAAATCATTATCGTAATGCGATATACTGATGGTAATAATGATAAAATAATGAACGAGGTAAATTTAGATAAGAAGATAGTTATAAGTACTGTTGCTAAATACAACACCAAGAATTGGACTTGTCTTGCTTCTGGTCTCGGTCTTCCTGCAAGAGTCTCGCAAATCTTGCGATTAATAATAATAATAAAATCGTTTATTTATCTCAACACATTAATAAGTAAAATTAAATATAAGCTCTACACAGTGTTTAGTAACAATAGTGGTGTGAGATAAAAAGGTCTGTAACTCAGCACAATGGTAGAATGTTACACAACGCCGGTGATATTCTGCCACAGCCTTCATAAAAGAATTAGAACTAACAAATTGCTACTTATCAAAATATCATATTGTAATGGTTCCTAGAAAAAGTGACAATGAGGGTTCAGGTTCAGGTTTTATAACAACGCAACAAAGTGCATTTTGAGTACATATTGACATAGGTATGTAACTCACTATAAGATACGAAGGCCAACCTAATGACGAAAATAATTTTAAAATATTATACGTTCTTACTGATTGATTTTAGATATTTATTTATTTTTATATGATAGTTAATATTTATTTAGTAAATGTATGTTAAGTCAATATGCGGTGGCCCATGGACTCAGGTATAATGCTAAGAAAAGTGAGCTGCTAGTTTTCAAAGCGG